AGGGAGGGAGGGAGGGAGGGAAAAGAAAGGCCGAGCGAGTCCGTCCGTCCGCCGCCACCAACTGGCGCTTCACTCGGCCGCCGCCATCTTGTCTGTCTGTCGCTCGCTCGCTTTCTTTCTCGCTGCCGATATCCAGGACACAAAATGCCTCCAGCCCGCGACCGACGCTTCTTCACCGCGCTGAGTACTCTGGGAAACTGGGGAGAACACCAGCCTGCGCATGCGTCTCCCAAAGGGAGGAAAAGAGGACAAGCAGGAAGTGTGCGTGATCTTAACGCCTTAGCAGGGCGAGGCTGGTTCAAAACATGCGCATGCGCAAAAGGCGGCAGACTTGTTCTTTGAAGCGGAGAAACCCCGCCCTCCGTTTTAGGGAATTAGAATTACGCAGTTACCATCGTTCCACACATGCAAAAAAGGTTTGTTACTTTATCGTTCAAGTACAAAAAGGCCGGCTATGCGCATGCGCTTTCCGAAGCGAAGAGGCTTTAGGAATATGTCAAGACTCGGGTGAGTGTAGTATACTGTTAAACTAGATTAAGCCCACTTGTACCCTAACTCTGTCAGTTGTATAGTGTTTATATACTGGCCTCATATGTTCATCAACACTTTTTTTCAGGTAGACGGGTATACAAAACTGTAATCCAGAAATGGGAGAACTACGCTATTTCATAGAGAAAGGAATGAAACTTACTGTACGAATATTTTGTATTAATTCAGCAAAGATTAATCACTGCTCCTTCCTCAAGGTACAAGATGCGATCATTGTTTTCTGTTCAAAAGGAGGGGGTAAATTAATAATGGATTGAAAGCTGTTAGGAAATTTTCTAAAATAAATGGATTTTACAGCACTGTTTGGATACATCCCTTATGATTCCTGGAATAATGCAATATTTATTTATACATATATATTTATACATATATAAATAATTCTCCCTAAGATTTTATGTGGCTATCAATAAAATAAAAACATGAACAATAAAACAGTAAAAATGAACAGAATAAAGCATGTGGTCTCTGAACTAAGGAAAATATTCCCTGGATCAGCTGCTTCCAATCGAATTGTACCCTTTGGCCCAAAGGCCTGTTGGAAAAGCAATGTTTTTATCTCCTTTCTCAGGAAAGAACACCCCATCCTAACCTGGGGTGGAGCAAACTGTTCCAAAATAAGGTGGCTGCCCTCAAGGAGGCCTGCTTCCTTTCCCCTTAACATCTTGCGGGAGGGGATTTTCAGCCTGCTAGAGTGGAAGGATAGACCAGATCTGGGTAAGCCGGTCTGGAAGGTCACCATTCTGGATAAGGCATACTGGAAGCTCGGTCAGGTGAGGAGGATGTATGAAAGAGCCACGCCCCTGTGGGTTTGTAGTGGCTGGGACTGGACATGAGTGTGTGACTAAGCCATGGATTGTTTAACTATAGAGAATGAGCCATGCATGGCTGGGCATAGATAACATAAACCAAGGTTTGCAACCATAATGGCTGGTTTTATGCTACCCAGAATCCTTTGGGATTGGGGTGAGTTATCAGTACCGTAAAACAAATGCCTATAACAGAATCAAGAAGACTACATGATGCATATAGCATGCAGCAGGTAACACAATGTGCAGAATCAGTGAGGAAAGAATGCAGAGAAGAGCAACAAGGATGGTGCAAAATCCTGTGAAGAACAGTTAAAAGGACTGGGTAAGTTTAGTCTAAGGAAGAGAAGCCTAAGGGGAGACATGATAGTGGTCTTTCCAATACTTAAAGGGCTGCCACAGGGAAGATAGATAGATGCTACTAGCAAAAGATTTTCAAAGCAGTTCTACAGAGTAAAGCTAAGCAACAAAACAACAAAGACATCTTAATTCTAATGCTTCTATTTAATCATTGGTATTTCTGTGACGCTATACTTCAAACTGCTTGAAGTTATTTTGGTATTATAAATTTATATTCCTTGCAAAGCTTATTGAGGTACATTTAATTTTTTTTTCTTAATTTGTCCCATGTTATCAAATATGCACCCGTGGCAAAAATAGCTGAAATGTTTTTTGTGTTTAGTTTCATTTTTATTTTTCCTCTCAATAAAACAAAATCTTACATTCTGGATGTGCAACTTAATCCACTTTCAATTTACTTAATTCCTAATGTTTTGGTAACATGAATAGTGAGCATATTTTTAAAAAAAATTTAAGATGAAAGTATAGAGCTACCATATGCATAGCTGCAAAAATCTGGTCAACCTCTAGATGGTACCAAAGAAATAATGAACTCTCAGATTTTTGCAGTTCTGATAGGGTAGCACAAGAAAGTGGAAAATCTCGAAAAATGAAATGGGAAATTATCCTTTCTCCACAAGAAGATTCATTCTAGGAGCTGAAGTCAGTTCCCAAATGTCTTCATTGCTCCAGGATTGGCTGTGGTTCCATAATGTCATTCCTCTTCTACAACTCAGCCAATTGTTTGAAACTGCTGGGAAGGTCGTTTGTTTTTGAGATACCGCAACTCTATGGTGATTCCCTACTTTTGCTTATCCCGCATCCTGGGCTAAAGCCACACTAACCAAATTTTCAAGGGGAAATATTGTTTGACAGCTTTTCTGCTCCCCCTCAGAGGAATTACTTGGATTATTGTGCATATAGGTAGACAAATAAACACAATATAAAGGAAGGGTTTGTATGGGCTAGAGTACAAATAATTTGCCTTTCTTTCTTTTAGCAGGGAATGGATGGGTTTTGTTGCTGCTGCAGGATCTGTGACAACTTGGAACAGGACACTGATTTTAGTTCCCTGATAGGTCAGTGTCAGTGCAGACCATCATAGATTTTCCTCAAAGTGTTTTTGAGGGATTAGGGGATAGAACCACCTTCACAGTCAAACTAGAGATGAATAAACATTTTGTATCAAGAGTTGCTGTCAACATATTCTTGCATTACAACATAACCTGTATCAAGCAATTCTAGTTTAACCTTTCAGATTGGACTTGCAGTGATGTATGGGAAGAATGGAGATGAGAAAAGGTGGTACAAAATAAGAGGAGGAAGATTGTCATGTAGGATATTAGAAAAAAAAATAACATGCAGCATTGCTTTATGAAGAATTTTATTTATTGTTAATTTCTTGCCAGATTTATCTGTTTAACAATCAGGGCAACTTGACTGTAAAGAAAATACAAAATAGAAACAAAGCAATTAAAATCTTAATAAACAATCAGCAATTAAAGGCTTGATAGAAAGATGTGCTTTGCCAACTACCTAAATGCTTGTAGAGTGGGAGCCATGTTTTCATGGTCTGGATGCCACATAGGAGGTCTTTTCCTATATAATAAATAGATGAAACTCTGACAGTGAATGGCTGCTCCTGCTGATATGAGTAGTTGGGCTGGTTCGTAATGGGAGAAGCACTCTTACAGGGAGACGCTACACTGTTTAGGGCTTTCTAAGTCTACTAAAACTGTGAACAGTATCCAATAGGCAACTGATAGCCAGTGCAAATATTTCAGGACAGGAACCATACGATTCCCTATTCACTGCACCAATCAGCAGCCTAGCTGCTGCATTTTGTACCATTTTCAAGTTCTGTACACTTTCAAGGATGTCCCCATATACAGCACATTGCAGTAGTCCAGGTAGGTTGCAACCATAGTATAGATAACTGTTGCTGTGTTGTGGTTTACAAATGTGCTCCTTGCCATGGTGGCATTTGCAAGTGCAAGTTAGGGAACAAAAAACACGCCAAACTGCAAATCTTCATCTCAGTCCCTGAGTCCAGATTTTTCCTTATTAACAGCACCTCCATCTTATCTGGATTTAATTTCAGCTTGTTCTCTCTGATCCAGCCCATTATTGAGATTAGGCAGCATTCAGCCATACTGATTGCTTCCTTGGAATTAGAGGGTAAGGAGCAGTAGAACTGAATGTCATAAGTGTACTGATGGCACCTAACTCCAAAGCTCGAGATGACCTCTCCCAGAAGTTTTCAGTTACCATATTTTTCCATCTATAAGACAATACTTTTTTCTAAAATTGTTAC